TATGTGTTTCTGCTCCTTGCAGGCCCTCCTCTTCTGATTTTCCCAGATCTCTCGAACTTCCTTACTACTGGAAGGGGCCCGATTACCAGGACATGCTCCTGCTGCTACCCTGATCTGTTATAAGTAAGCTCAAGAAAAAGCCAGCATCTTCTATGTGATTGGTACAGTGCTCAGGGCTTCCTGAACATTAGTTTAATTCTCCCTGCATTCCTATAAAGCTAGGCATTATTACCCCATTTTACAGGAGAGAAAACCGAGGCTCATACTGGTTAAGTGACTTGCCTGAGATTACATTCTTAGTGGGAAGTGCAGTTGGCATTAAACACAGGCCGTCGTGATAGCACAGTCATACCCTTTCCATCTCACGTCCTTAGAGGTTTTCTTCTATCATTGCCCTAGTGTGGGTACTGGGAGCCAGCTGGTGGAGACTTGGGACCTTGCCTGTAGGGTTCACCTCCTCTAGCAACTGGGGCAAGTTACTGGAAGTCTGGGTGGAGACAGGGAGCTTTGCTCCCTTGGTCAAAGGCTTTGGAGGTGTGGTAGCGTACTCTGAAGGGCCGTGAGGAATTAGAGAAAGTGACTTGGCTTAAAGATAGTAACAGGGGTGCACATTGTGTTTTATAGCCCCTCAAACACCTTTAGATTAATCCCCGCTCCATCCTTGTGTGGTACGTGGGGAAGGCCTAAGAGGTTCAATAGTAAAAATCTAAAGTGCTCACCACACTTACCATGCTAAGTGCTTTATAGTACTTAGCATGTTAAGTACTCATTGACTGCTAACAATAGCCGTAATAAGGTTGGCCCCATATTGCAGATCAAGAAACAAGCATAGAGAGGTTAAGCAAATTGCTCCAGGTCACATAGGTAGTAGATGGTAGAGTTAGGACTTTAGAGACTTCCAGGGTGTCTTTCAGCTATATTAGTTAGAAAGTCCTGAGGAAACTTGTAGGGTGATGGATATGTTCATGATCTCAGTTATAGTGATGGTTTCACAGGTGCATACATGTTAAAATCAACCAGATTGTACACTTTGAATATGTGTAGATTACTGTATGTCAATGACACTTTAATAAAGATGTGAAAAGAAAAAGCTTTTCCCACCAACCATTCCTTCGGGGGTTCCATGGCTCTAGGGAGATGCCATCCTCCTCCTGCTGGGGCAAGGTAGAATCATTGTGGCCTGGGAGAGATTCTCACAGACTTAGCAGCTGGTTTCGGGTACCTTTGGCTGCTTCTCCTCTTTTTCTCAGCACTAGGCATAGACTGGCACCAGGTTGGCATGAGGATGAGGGTGTGTGTGCATGCAGATTGCAAGTAACTGCCACTTGGCTTCCAATGAGCCCGAGAGTGACCCCAGTGAGATTCTCTCCTGTTCTCT